TTTTTTTTCTTCTTAATATGGCTACCTTCAATTATGTGAAGTGAAAACATACAATTTGCAGACCGCATACATATTTATAAATATGCATACGTATTATGTATAGGGCTCATTAATTATCGCAAAAATGTTAACACCAAGGGGAAAACTAAGCTGGGGCAACGAAATAAGATGAATTAAAAGAGAAAAGAAAAATTGGGGGAAAGGGAAAATTTTTCAATTTCAAGAGTGGTGTGGAATGAACTAAATATATAGTAGCATAAAGTGGAGAGTGTAGCGCAACTGAAGGCAGTATAAAATGTAATGATAACATATGCAACCACGTAAATGTTGAAGTGTATTCAGGAGAAATCTTTGAAACTGTCTAAAATGTGTACCAATTAAATAACTCATAGGCTTATTTTAAAAAAAATAAATAAATGGTACAAATCTTGTAAACTACTCCCAATCATGTGTGCAAAAAAGAGAGAAAAAAAATACAACATATGCATAAGCGCAATGGAAAACGGACATGTGTATTTACTACACGACGTCATAGCAGTGCGACACTGTGGGGTGACATATAGCCTACTGGCGCAAAAAAAGAAGGAAGGAATACATGGAATAAAAGCTATGGATGGCATAGATATAAATTCGCATGCGCTGAAGGTGCAAACTGACACACGTTCACGTGGTATTTTGCCTGATGATACTCTTGCTCGTGCCTCGGCACCCGGGGGGCAATTCGTGGAGCGGGTTGAATTGTCAAAACGTGTGAACAATGTGGAGGAGTGCGTGGTAAGTAATAAGCAGCGTGGTCGCAAAAAAGTTTCTCCCTAGGCGGCTGCCTCCTAATCAGCGCGCCCGATGCCAGTGTTGATGTAGCATAGCGACATAACGTGGTCTTGTTGGAATGCCTCGCAAAGGGGTCCTGCTGGGATCCTTCATTACGAGGAAGAAAAGTACATTCTGGGATTACCAATGGGGATGTATCCCTCAGGGCAACTGTTTCATGCTACTGAACTGCGAAACGACACTTGCCGTAATTGCTGCGCCCTTTCCCGATCCATCATCGGCCGGAATAATGACCAAATTTTCCGCCTTGTCAGCCAGGATAACATTCAAATGTTCCTGTAACCTTTTGCAGTACCAAGCATTTTTGACAAACAGAGAGCCATCTACACCACAAGAAAATTTGGAATGTTCGATAATTTTAATTCTTTTGGCTATAGCAGCTATTGCAGCAGCAGCTAGAGCAGCCGACCGATTATAAACAGACTCGCAAATTTTACGTAAGGCATATAGCTCTTCATCCGTGAAGTCCATGTCCCATGCAGCTTTTGCTACTTTTCTGGTTTCCTCAAAATTGGGGGAAGTATCATTTAGTACGACACTTCCAGATTCGGAGTCGAAGCTGTCGCTTTTCCACATTTTCTCAGACGATGCACTTTGTAAAACATTAACCATGAACCTTCTGACAATTTCTCCCAAGTAGGCTCCAGAAATCATTTTCTCAAGAAGTTGTCTACTCCTATTGGCTGAATACCAATCCATGACTAGGTCGACGGGGGATAGGGGCAAATCCTTATCAAAATTGCCTAACTCTATGTTAATAATTTTTCCAGAGTATTTGTACTTTTTCCATTCAGGTTCGTAATAACATCCATTGGATCCGGTTCCTAATATGATACCAATGTAGCATGGGGGAGTTGTTTTCCCTTTTTGATAAGCACAAGACATAAGTGTGCCAACGGCATCATTAAGGACGCAACAAACCGTTGCTGGTACCTGTGATCTTGCAAAAGCTTCATTCATTAGTTTGCACACATCACGACCTTCCACAGGATCATTTGTAGCTCTGCCTGTTTCAAATCCCTTTGTCCAATCCATCAAGATTGCACAATTAATGGATGGAGAGGTACACGGAAATGAAAATGTGAAACCTACTTTATTTCCTTCACGGATATCTAAATCTTTAAACTCCCCCATAATGTATTTGATCCTCTCAGCGAAGTGATCAAACAGTTGTGACGCAGTTGCATGTTTATCTAATAAGCCCTTTTCATGTGAAAATGTCCCTGTAAATTTTAAACTGTACGTTTCTTGGTCTCTTTTTATTTTGCCATTTCCATCTAGAGATGCTCTTACAGCTCTGAAATTTGTTCCTCCAAAGTCGATTGCATAGTAGGTTCCTTTTTCCTGACCGGTGGGAATGTCCGAAATGCAGGAGTCCAACATTTTAAAGGAGCACTCGTGAGGAATCCATAAATTTGGGTGTCTACGATGGGCCTCTAATCCCTTCTTCAATTCGTACACAAAATTGTCAACAAATTCTTCCAATGTGGAATAAGTAATCCGCAATTGGTTGACATGTTTCTTTATCCTTGCTTGTAATTCTTCATTAATTGGGATGTCACATTTGATGGTGTCTAATTTCTCGTACACGGTGTCGTCTTTTTCTAAGTTGTAGTAGCTCATTTTGGCAGTTCGATGGGAGAGAGGGGAA